CTTCTCAGCACATCCACGGCCAACACCACCGGGCTGCTTCTCAGCACATCCACGGCCAGCATCCTGGTCCACGTCATCATCATCGTGGGCCTGGACTACAACTCCCACCCGTGTCTCCCGAGACTATTCATACGTAGCAGTCAGAATTATCCTTCTGAAAGTCTAATCATGTCACTACTCTGTTCACGCTCTTCAAAAATGAATGGTCTCATGCACGCAGAGCGAAACCTCAAGTCACTGCAAGGGTCTCCAGGATCCGCCCCAACCCTTACCTCTCGGCCCTTCTCTGTGCCTGGCTCATTCCACTGACTCCTGAATTACCTCTGAGCAAGCGCCTTGCCCAGGGCCCAACATGGGCCGTTCCCTCTGCTGACAATGCTCTTCACCCAAAAAGAGGCTCTGAAGAGCAGCAAGAAAAAAAGGGAGTCCTCATAAAGCTATCGGTGGCTTCTCAGAGGAAATCAGATGGGCCACGAGAGTGGGGTAACATTTTCAAAGTGCCTAAAGAAAAAAATCTGCCAATCAAGAACATGCAACCAGGCAAAGTTGTCCTTCGGAAATGAAAGAGATAAAGACTTTCCCAGACAAACAAAAGCTGAGAGTTCACCAACACTAAACCTGCCTTACGAGAAATGCTTGAAGGGGTTCTTCCAGCTGAAATGAAAGGATGCTAATTAAAGATTAGGAAAATATGAAACATTATGAAAATACACAACACACTGGTAAAGGTGAGTATGTAGTCAGGCTCAGAATACTCTAACATGTAGTAAGGTGGTATATTAACCATTTATGGCATGGCCATTAGGTACTCGGCACGCTCCCAAGCACTAATTATATTTACATGTATTGTAACCCAGGGTCTCTCTCCAGATAAGGGAAGGAAGGAATTTCTAAATTACTTTACTATAATACAATACATGTACAGATGGCTACCTCTGGCAGTTTCAAGTGAGACTGTTATTTAATTATCCATTCTCCCTCCTAGAGGACATCACATGTCCCTCAAATATAAGGACAGTATTTGCTTGATCACTAATATAAACCTAGGAGCGCCTAGCATAGTGACTGGCATACAGTACGCATTCAATACCTACTTGCTAGAGGGGTGGGAAAAAAAGGGCAAGAAAGGGAGGGGAAAAGAAGAAGAAAATGAACCAAACAAGCACTGAGGCCAAACTGAAAGAGCCATTTTATTGTCCCTAAATGACTCAGTTACTTCCAGGCCTTATTAATTGCTCTTTCACTGAACAATCCTTTAACATTTTTATTTTACCTGAACTAACGATATTCTAGGACTTATCTATATGTTTCTCTGTAAGTGTTCTAAAAGATCTTTATGCGTGCGCTTTTCGATCATTGAGAACTGGTGTATCATTCTCCCCTACAGGGATGAACCTAGTAGCACCTTCACACAAGTTCATTTCTAAATAGGCGCTGCTAACTTACTGTCTTACATCTAAGGGCATTCAATAAATGCCACCTGAATTAAACTGAACTGAATTGGCTGCTTGTTTTCAATAAACTATTTACAATTGATAGTGAAATAAAGGAAAGAGAGTAAATGTATAAGACTTCCCATGATCCTGCCCTGCGTATAACATTTGCATGGAGATTTCTCATGTGTATAATGCTACCTCTGCTTTTCAACTTCTTTCTGCCCCCGTCACCACTGAATGTCCATATGAAGAAAACCCAGAGCATGTTGAAAGGTACAGGAGAGAATATTAAGTTTCCTAGTCATCCTATTCCACATATTTACGGATCTGGTATGAGGCCACCCTGTCAATATTGTTTACGCTGAGAGCTTAATTACGGCCTCCCGATAGCAAAGGACGATTAATACCTTGGAGAATTTCTACTATGGGGCTGGATAAATTTACTTACCTAGACAATTTAGCAAGAAGAAACAATAAAAGAAAACACCACAATAAATGTTTCTGCCCATTTTGCATTGTCACTAGGTTAATAAAAATCTCACTTTTTCTTAGAGTATTATATAAAAAACTAGGTAAAAATGCTATTTTGAATGAAAATGTTTGTCTATTATATTCACATTTGTATTATTCCTTTTAAAGAGCAAACTATCAAACCAGTTAAGAGAGTTACTAGAATGAACTTAATATTTGAAGCTATAACTCACAGGATCAGCAGGTCCACAGAATTCTCGAAATGTCTTTGTAGGGTCATTCTGTTGAATCTCCATGGCTACACAAGGGCCAGAAAACATTTCTGTCACCATCTCCTATAATATGTAATAGATCATGATATTAAAAATTAACATAATGTCGTAATCTTTCACTCCTCCACTTTTAATTGCACCACTCTGCCACTAACCTCAGAATGTTAGTTACCTTGGACTTCTTCCCCACCTGTACCCCACATGCCGAGCAGCTCCTAAGTTTTGTCCATTTTTCCTACAAAACTATGTGTGTTCCCGCATCTCCATTCCACCACCACCATTTTAATGTAAGGCTTCACCACGTGACTCCTGCATCATTCGCACATCTTCCTTTCAAAGGGCGCTCTCTCCTCTTGAACACAGTATTGCCACATGGACATTTCTGAAGTATAAATTTCAGACTGTCGAAATGAACATTTCTAAAGATATAAATTCCAGAGTGTTTCTTTCTCCCAAAGACACTTTTAGAAATCATAATGATTTCCACAAATGAAAAATAACAGGGACCAGGTTTCTCTCACATTAAACATCTAGCAACTAGACAATCTGTACGAAACAGCAGTTTTCCGACTCTGGATGACAGGCAGCACCGGACTACGATCCCTGAGAGGAGGGAAAGCACGGAAGTTAAGCCCTATGACTGCCCCTCTTGCAGCCTGGAGGCAGTTTCCAGACAGTGGGACAGGCAGAGGAAACACAACAGCGCCCCACATCCCCACTGAGGAGAAGATACAGAGACTGGGGCTCATGGAGGCCAGAGCAGCTGAAATTTGCAGGACAGAACCCTGCAAATTTCAGGGACGGAGAGCTACAGGAGAGGAACCTACAGGGATCTGCATTGAAGCTCAGCTGAACCTTTGGCTAAGAGCCTGTGTATGTGTATAGGACACTGTCCAAGGCTGAGAAAAGAACTACCAGAAAGCAGTAGATGAAACAGCAGCACAAGGCTGAG